CACGAAGTGAATTGGCTTGTTTTACAACGTCGTTGCCAGGCGACGAAAACCCAATCCCGATGGCAAACACCGGGGGGGGCTTGTTTTACACCGTCGTTGCCAAGCGACGAAAACCCAACCCCGATGGCAAACACCGGGGGGGAGGGGGGGGGATTTTTTGTTGTCAACGAAATATTGTATTTTTCCATCCCATCTTTTTGTCGTTCACGACATTTTCATCCGTCCCGTCTAATCTGGGGGTCAGTCGACACCTTTCCGTACACATTTTGACGCACCAGCCGGCGTCCCAACCGCTTGGGAAAATTCCATGAAAGGGTTCGGACAGCCAGCAGAAGCGAAACAAAAACAACACGGAGATTTGATCGCATCTCCTTCGGCTAGCTTTCCGGTGCATATCGGGGAGAGAGGGACGAGTCTGGGCGAGCACCCTCCCCCGCACCGAAGACACGAAGCTTCACCTCACAGAGAGAGCGAGAGCGGTACATTACGCGTCGGCGCTGTCATGTACGCCGTTCGTGCTGTTCGTTGGCACATAACGGCCCGATTTTTCATCTATTACGAAAAAAAAAAGGGCGACACCCGAGAGAAGATATCGACATCATGGAACCATATGGATATGTACATACCTCGCACGAATCAACAGCGCAGCGGCGTCCGATTAGGTTGACCATGCCGATGGTCTTGTGCGCGCCGCAGAACACGGGCGGGTTTCCAGCATGCCCGCAGGAGGCGTACCTCACGCAGCCCTCGCTCTGAAAAAACAACACACAAGAGAAGGAAACATCGGTCGGACAAATCAAACATGTTTTCTTTTAATCGCAGCCCCGTATGCAAAATATCCCAGGTTTTGACGCGGGTGTGCCTCGACTTCAGAGTAAAACAAACAAAAGTACACTCTGCAGGCGCGAAAAAGAAAAAAGACAGATTCACTCCGTCGCACTTTTTTTTTTTGTTCCATCACTTTGTATCAGCGATCACAGCATTGCTTCCCAGAAGTCTACACAGCAAAATTGATTAAGCAAACATATGGGATGAAGTATTCAATCCGTGCGTTAGGGTTAGGGTAAGGGATAGGTCTGCGTGCCCCCTCCCTATTATTTTTCTAGATACTTTTAAAATCCTGCGTAGGTGGTCCATTTCTGCCGGGTAAGGAGCTCTCATCGGGCGTCACACAGAAGGTTTCCTCCCCCTACCCACCCCTCCTGCGGTGCTTGCCTTCGCATGCAAGACAACAAAGTGGAAATATAGATACGGCATCCACATGGCATACCGGCTATGTCCTCCTGCCAAGCACGACTAAAATATGATGAGGAATACTCTGTCCGGCGTTCTCTGTTTCGCGTACACAGGGCCGGGAGCCGTTAGAGGGAGAGAGGAGGGACGAGCGCTTGAAAAATACTACTTGGCCTTTGAATAGAAAATACATAACAACACAGGAAGAGACCACCCGTTCGCGAGAAAACCACAGGTAGTCGAAGGGGATGCGTACGGGATGCGTTGAAGTCTTAAACGATGAGTGCAAGGAAGAGAAGCCGGCCGGATACTTCGCGTAAGAGTCTGTATCAAGAGTTTGCACCGAACTGTACCAGTGAGGTGACACAGACATGCCGCCTTGGGTTTGGTCGTCCACCGGACGAAAAAAACACCGAACACACACTTCAACGCACGCACGTCTTTACGACAACAAAGGAGGCAGCAGGACGAGAGCAGAAAGCTACAACAAACACAGCAGTATCAGTAACACACGCACACCTGGCAACGGCGACTGCGTAGGTTGTGCATGCCCTCCGCACGGTGCTGCGCGCAAAACCGAGGCGCCTCTCCGTCGTACCCGTAGTGAGGCCGAATCTCGCAGTTGGGCACTTCACACCTGTGAATACATGAAAAAAAGACAACACGCCACGAGGGACGGAGCAAGAGCCCGAAAAAATGCCGTGCGTGCGAGCAGCAGCAGCGGCGGCAGCAGCAGCAGAAAAACGAGCGTATGGGCGGAGCAGGGGCGGCAGTGATGAAGAGTTCCAAGAAGGGCCGCTCCTTTCTGATTTAGGCAACGGCCAGGAGAGAGCATGTTGTTGGCGAAAGGTTTCAAAAGGTTTTGAATATTTTTCAGCTCTCGAATGTATCACGATGCTTATGGCAGTAGCGGCGGCTCTCGTGCTGAAGTATATACTCTCTGCCCCAGAAGGCAAGGCACAAAGCAGGAGAACCGTCGGCCCGAGAGGCAGGGATACACCACCGTCGGCCCGGGAGGCAGGGATATACCACGCTTACCTCTTGTTGCGGACGTCGATTTGGCCGGGCTTCTTGTGGAGGAAGCAATACTTGGGCTTCTTCTGCCCGGGCTCCCCGTAGTAGGGCTGCTTCTTGCACTCCGTCTCCCCACAAATCCACGGCATGGCTCGGTGCTCACTTCGCCGACAGCAGACGCAGGGTCTTTCGGTGGTGGTGAGAACTTTTTTATCGGGGTCGGTGCTTTTCTACCGCTTGGGCAGCAGCAGCGCCGACCAACAAAGGAGCGGCGACGAAGATCCCCAAAGGTAGGCTGCTTCTCCCCGGGTTGAGAAGAACGCCACGCGAGGTGAAGCAGGCCGAGGGTGAAAGAAAGAGAAGAACGCCTCGGCAGGTCTCGCTGTGCGTGTGGCGAGCCACCGAGAGGCAACGCCAAAACCGGGTGGGCAGGGGACGTTTAAGACACGCCCCTTTTTCTTCTAGAAACGAAACCGTCAAATATGTACTCTGTCGTGGTTCCAGAAAATTTCGCCCTCCTGCCTAACCCCGGGTCCTCCGGTTCTCCAATATCGCTCGTGTGTGTAAGCGATTTGCCTCTTGTCAACATCCCTTTGAAATGTTTATGGATCGGAGACTGGTAGCAAGGGTTCAACCGTGAATTACTGCCGTTTCCAACAACCACGCAATATACGCGCTCTGTTTTTATATTTTCTTAATATCACACAACAAATCCATCTCTACAATATCATAGAAACAACTCCAAAAGATAGATGTTTTTTCTTCCTTAAAAATCACGCTGTTTTTTCAGGTTATATTGCGGCGGAAATAAACTTTCGTACGTAAGTCCACAACGGCTGCCCAGCAGTGCACACCACAGCACGCAGCACCCGCTGGCACACAAGAAGCAGACAGCATGGCGTCGATCCCAGATGCAGCAGCTATAGGCTACGAGTGGAAGAAGACATATGTCCCCTCGTGCTATCTTGACAAGGGTAAAGGCAAGTGGGGGCTTAGGCTCAACTTCACATCCCGGAAGGGAGAGAAGCCAAAGAGCAAGTACGGGCCCACGTGCGACTAGCAGGAGGAAGCGCTTGCGGGCAGTCAGGCCTTCAGGGTTAGCTGGGAATTCAGCCACCTTGGTCAGCCCGTCCACCCTAGCAATAAACATCCGGTCCCAAGATCAGCATCTGCTGCGGCGGACGCTGCGCTTCCTGTAGGCAAGTCGTGAATTGAGTACATCTGCTGATCATGAACACCACCAATACATCTGGAATTTGAAATGTTAGTCCATGAGTGCTTCTTCTGGGGATGCAGGATCAAACGGCAGAATGTAAGCGACGCTACCTACTTCTGCACGAAGCACGAGCTTCATTTAGTCATGAATGTTATTTAAGGGAATGGGTGGTAACAGACGCGGATGCGTCAGTTTGTGTGTGGTGCAGCTCGTGAGGTCTGCAGCCGGAATTTTGAATTTCAACGGCCTCTTTGAAAACATGCACACGAATGAATCAACCTCGAGCAGCGCCTGCTCTGCTGCTGCAGTTACCGCCACCAATTGTTGTTGCTTAGAGGTTTCGTACTGGATGATCTGCAGCCTATTCTAGCCTGTAGGCAGCTCTCTCAGCACACTCCAGCCGTAGGTGACTGTACTTCTACAGCAGTTACTGTTGTAGACCATGTCTAATGCCGAGCTTCCATGCCCGTTTTCATCACACTGGTCTGTTTCCGGCTTGGTACTTGTGTACTCCCTACTATGTAGATAAGGAGAATGTAGCCGGGGTTCACCTGCAGGAGTCTGTATCTTCATCTGCATAGATGCGTACACTATCTGGAATTTTCGAGCTAATCTTCCAAGACTACTGCTGTGCATCCGCCCCCACCTGGTGTCGAATGCTATACCAACGAGCGACGGAGGAACACACACACAGACACGCTGGGCTTGAATTAACCCTTTTGCTGTTCTCCGCTCTTTGCATCAGTGGCTCCCTAGGTTTGAGCGAGGCCAATTTTATAGCTGAGATGTGTGTCTCCGCGAAACAACATGTAGAGAGAGTCGTATTTGCATTCATATATAGCGCATTGCGCATTTTTCGAATTTTGGCCCCCTTCCAGGGACCTTGATTTTTCCCGCTGGCACTGGCGTCTTTTCATTGGTCAGCCGGTTAGCGCGGTCGACGACAATACTCAAGACACACACGCCGTGACACACGTGACCTTGGTACGGCAGTACCGCCAAACGATCGGTACCTAACAGCGCTGCCGCCAACAAATCATGAACACTGGTGGCAGACACGAAAACACTCGACAGAGCCCATCGGGCGGCGGGGTGTGGAAAGTGGCAGGAGCACAGCTCCAACAAAACCACGTTCTCTCGCATGGAACGTTTGTCCACACATCAGTCTCATGTTTCACTTGCTGATGGAGGCGGCGTCGTTTGTTTGACTTCCTTAACCCCCGCGCTATTGTTGTCCAGCAAAAGCCGCCATCCCTTATCGTTCCGAGTCCCATGTGGCGAATGCGCCAGCAGCACCAAACGCCCCAACTTCGCTCTCCGCTGCTGTTGTTGCTGCGGTTGGAAAAACCTCTCTTCAATCTTCAACCTATCCTATTTTTCACCCATCGATTTTTCCAACGGTAAAATTGAACTCATCGTCAAGAAGACTCCCTGTTGTTCAGTCAGAGAGCGGGCACCAGGTCTGCTGTTGCTGCTGTACTTTCACCTATGAGAGGGATTGGACCACGGCGGGTTGGTGTGATTCTGTGGTGTGCGAGACTTTATCAGTGGTACCTCTGTTTCTCCTCCTGGTTTGAATCGCGCGCGCGTGAGAAATCTCAGCTTTTGTGCTCCCCCCTTTCCTGGAAGAAACCCGGGGATGGGATGGGGTGAGGCATCTCGTACTACGATTTTTGGGCACAAGTACCTCTGCAGTACGGCCGTCTGCTGATGCGGCACGAAACAACCGACGTGACGAACGAGGGCCTTATTTTTCTTCTTGCTCAGAAGGCAACAGATGGTCAATCGTTGCCCTATAGCTCTTGGTTTGGTCGAAATTAAGGGTTCTCTTGGCTTCCCGGCACATCAAACTTACTTGACGCCCTCTCACATCGTGTTGGAACAGGCCGATATTTAGAGCCTTTTTTCCCGTCCTAGGATGAAGGGGAAACAAGTTCGCGCTTCGGGCTCCGCAACTCATTACAAGTGGTGATCTGGCATTTACACTTCCTGAACTGCTGTACTGGTACGCTTACGACTACTGCTGTGCAGCACGCAGTAGAATTGGACTCACTGGTGGTCTACGAGTTGTTCATTGCTTTTCTCTGTGCACACGTCCATTGCTGTCCACGCACACACCTACCTGCACCTCTCGTCACATTCACAAGTGTCAGTCAATCGATCGATGTGATTCCACGTGCACATTTGCAACCGTATTCGCGTTTTTTCCTGCTGCGTAGGTCTCGTCTGTATGCTCTGGTGTATTCTGCTGCAATGACGTGCTACCTCCGTCTGAATATACCTCCCGGTACACACAAACAAGTCGTTTGCCGAGGAACTACCCGCATGAAAACGCGCCATCGTCGCCACACATCGGCAAACAGTACCAGGTGCTGTTCTGCGCTCTGCACAAACGTACTGCTGCGAATCTACCATGTTTTTCTACTGCCTAGACTATATGTACTGCTGCTGTACAGACAGCGCCCGCACTTAGGAACTCGGCGGTTAGGAACTCCATGCTCAACATCACATCAAAACATCAGCACCATTTGTGGGCCCGTATAACAACCCATACACACAAAAACGGCCACAACTACCCGAGCCCCGACCAAACCTATAGGTTCTTCAGTGCGCGCGCAAGCTGTACAAACCAACTCTAAGCTACACCCAAAGACGTACCCCCTGCCGCGTGCTTCAAACTGTTCCAACCACTACGTTCGACCAGGAAAATCAGTTAATAGCCTTGGGGTTCTCAGCGCCGTGCAGGAACGTCTGTTCAAGCAACAGCGGCGGGCCGGCTCAGACGCGACCCGCGCACAGTTTGCGACGCAACAGATGGCCACCAGCCGCGAAAAGCGCTCGACAATGAGGAGTTTGAGCAGGAGAGAGAAGAAATTCCGAAAGGCATTCGACAAACGTGGTGCCTACTTCGGTACCCGGATCAACGACCTGACGACGAACCTCAACGCCACTGCGCAACATATCAGGCGTCTCGACACCGCCCTCGCGACTCAACAACTCGTCAGCCTTCTAGTCTCCGTTGCCCCCTCTCTCGGCGAGATCGCGGACGACGGCACACGGGCCGAGACCGAGGGGGACGAGCGGAAAGAAGAACTGTCCGATAAACAGCAGCTCCGATTGTGCCATCGAGCATACGTATCGTTGGTGGTGCTGAAAGAGGAGCAGAAGCGGGACGCCAAGCAGCTGGAGCTCACGCAGGAGGCGAAGAAGGTGCTGTCGGACTGCGAGCATCCGACGGAGGCCGAGGTGATGGAAGCCGATGCCAAGCGGTTCGAGCTGCTGAACGAGGCTTCCCTTGTCCGACGCGACGCTTCGCTCCTCCGGATCGCGGAGAAGGTGCTATGCACCGACAAGCCGGCGATCGCGGCATCGACGGGCCTGAGGTAGCTCAGAGACTTTCGGAAGCAAGGTGGGTTGAGGCTGGACTGATGGGATGCTTGCGAGCCGGACAGGATCATGCTGAGGAGGATCTGAAGGATCAGCTTCTGGCGTTGACAAGAACGCAGCCGCGCCTTTACCGTCAAGGATGCCTGCGACTACATCAACCGACCTCTGTTCGGCGCCCACGAAGCTGGGGATCTGTCCACACTCCATTCGTACCAGGGGGCCCGAGCTCGGTGTCCACGACCCACGCGTGGCTGATAAGGTTGGGGTGCGTAAGTACGGGCGAGCCACCAAGTCGTACCGCGTGACACCCAATAGACGGAGGAGGCACAGCAGAAGTTCCTGACCTCGGCGAGGAAAGTCAGCACCACGAAATGAGACGCCAGCTCGCGCCGCGTCAAGCGGTGTAGATGCGAGTACGACGAGGCTCTCGGAAGCCGGAGGAGGTGGCATGACTTGACGGCGTCAAGGCAGAGGAGAAGGCTCGAGAAGGAGATTTCTACACGGATGTCAACGACTGCGAGATCGATGGAAACGCGAACATCGAATTCAACGAAGGTCTCCTGCGAGAGAATGGCTTCGTCGATGATTTCGACAAGCATCGCGCTGCACTTGGGTGAATGATACGGCGATCGCTGTACTCACGCCGCCGAAGCCCCAGTTGGTACAACATACGACAGGCTGTTTGCGAAGTCGAGTTGTACAAGATTGGGAAACCTACGATCAGTATCCAGCCTCCGGTGGGTGTGCTTCGATTTAAACATGCGAATTCTTGATATTCTTCAAAAACTATATTCAGCATCGATATTCACATACACGTTCGGCGACGTAGAGAAGCATAAAACCGAAAAGATTTAAAGCGGTTGGCCATGTTCTCACACACACGGAACATCAGTCGCTCCCGGATCAAACGTATACCTGCAACCGCCCCGTCCCCGAACAAAACGAACGGAGGCTTGTGACCCTCGTACAAAAAAGACGTAAAGAATCTCGCTCGTTAAGCGACAAAGAAGCGAGCACAGAGTAGTGTACTACCTGAGAGCTGCCTACCAACGCGGAACCAATAATAATGTATACATACGACAGTCGGTCAGCAATTCGCTTCCCATTACCCCTCTGGCTACTTTGGCCCAGTGCATGTGATGCACAGCTGGCACTCCCGCTTTTGGTAGCCTTCCGTGACGACGTTTCGCACGCATCCCCCCCCCACCCCCTCCAACTAGCGAGAGAAGATGCGGCAACGGTTGTCGGGGGCTGCATTCGTGCCGAACCTTGCGACGCACATTCTTTGCGTTCGGGAAAAACCACCGACCCTATCCCCCTTAGCTAGCATGATCGTGCGGCGCCTCTGACAAATACGCAGATCCTCTACCCGGGGAGGCTGAAGTCGTAGCCCCTGATCCGCCCCCCCACGTGTCGTTGGACCCAGGGGGGGGGCCTCTACCACCGCCCCTCGACACCAGCATATTCACCGCGGTGTGCGAGTCGTTCCCCGTCTGCTGCAAGGCCTGGACCACCGCGGCCCGGTCGAATCCCATCCCCTGTTCATGCAGCGGGAACGGGGGCAAGCGAAATTTCATCTTGCTTTGCGACCCGAAGGCTTTCGGCAGGGGGCGAGTGTCTCTCATCCTTGTAGCTAGACACTGCGTGCGTGCCCTTCTCCGGTGTTAACCCAGCGGTTGATGCGTGTCCACATATACCGATAGGTACCATTCGAATCAAATATGTTTCTGATGTGGGCAGGCTGCGGGTATGGTACGAGTCAGCTTGGCTCGGTTTGACGTTTTTCTACTGTACCCGACCTTTGCGGGTGGCGATATGTGGCTGTCTCAAGTGCATGCAATACTTCTTCGAGTGCAAAACCTGTCCGCAATCGACGTCGGCGTTGCTGCTGAGTTAAGACAGAGATCCCCAGGCGACGAGGTGCCGTTGCTTGCTGTTTTACCATGCTGTACGTGAGTTCTCGAGGTACGGGAGGGCGGGTTCGTCAGGTGCAACGCAAAATCCAACCCATTCCTGCTTGTCAGGTCTCAGGCAAATTGACTAACCACGACCAATACACATCGCCTTCAAACCAAGATATATACTCCATGACTTGTGTATTTCCGTCAAGAGCGTTACGACAAGGAAAAAAGGGGAAACTTACAACAATCAGCTGGTTATCTCTGCACCACCTACACATACCATGAGTGACGCCACGGCTTCCTCCGACGGTGGCTGAGGAGGAAGAGGGGGAGGGGGGGAGGAAGACGCGTTTCTCAACCTTGTCGACCCCTGCAGAAAAAAAAACGCAGCAACGGGTGGCAGGGGATCAGCGTGGGGTTTGTATAAAATGGAAATCGTCATGCGTCTGGTTCCCGAAGCACGGACCGCTTCACGTCGACTGTTGTTTGTTTTGGGCCGGCGGGAGTACGTAATCAAAGCAAGACCGCAAGGTTATTTGCTTGGATCTATTGTACCCAAAGCCAAAAGTAATGCCTGCCATGTAAAGATTTTGGGAGATGAAAAGTTTTCGTGATGACTTGCAACGCGAGACGCGAACAAGCACGTTAGACGTCGCGCGGATGTGCACTCCCAGCTCGTTCACATCCCGTCCGTATGAACACATACGAAAACCGATAAAGCATAGAGCGGCCAAGCAAAGGGCCTGCGCACACCCTTAAGGAAGAGGTAGCTTTCTCCGTGTTGGCTGGGGCCAATGAACGCGGGCAGGTCGAAGGTTCTGCCATCCGCGAAGAAAGCTACCGGAGAAAGCTTACAAATGTTCGTCGAGGAGGAGGGTCGGCGCCCACCTGTCGAACTGGTGTGAAGAAAGAAAAAAGGCCACCGCCGCCGCCGCCGCGCCCTCTCGCAGGGTCTAGAAGGGCTTGGGCGGGGCGGGGTGGCCTGCGTGCGGCGCGCGCAGCCGGGGGGGCAGCACCGCCGGGGAAGAAGCTTCCTCTTCGACCTGACATAAACGACCGGCTTAACCTCTTGTGGTCAAGGGAAAGAAACGTAACGAAAAACAGGAGGAATGAACACAGGGGAACGAAAAATAACGGCAGAGCAGCAGTGAAGGCCATGGCGTTGCCGCATTGTCCATTGTCGTCAGGGTTGATGTTTCGGTTTGCGGCTGGTGGCACGATACCAGGATGTCGTCTCCGCGACAAAAACGAAACAAACAAGACAACGCGGAAAGGATAAATCGACGAAAATATATAGGTGTCACTTCGTGTGGACAGGTTTCCGCGACCTCCCACCAGTTTACTCAAAGAAAGGTAAACCTGTCGGACATTGGATACCGCTCCTTCTCCTTCGCGTGGCGGCATGTTTGGTTGCCACCGCTACGAGAAACCCTCCCCCTCTTGGGAGTTTGTATCATACACCACCCACTCAACACATTACGATCATAGAGACGTGTGCCCGGCGATCATGTCTGCTTCAAGCTCGAAGCCGACATGCCGTATGTTGTAACACACCATACCCCTTGTGGACGATTTTCCAAGCCCGACTACTCCACGATCGAGAGGATGCCGCCATGCGAAGACGCGATTTCGGCAAGTTCTCGACGAAAACGGTTCCAGCGGTGCCATTTTCGGAATCGTTGCGAGTCTTTCAAAAAAACATACAATCACTTGTCACTATAGAAAATATGCACATCCCTGTAGGACTGACTACCTATTTCGAGCGAAAACCAACCTCGAAGGGATGTGTCGAAGTCTTCGCTGAGTGGTATTGCTGCAGAATAGTCGCAACTTGAACATCGGAGGCCGGCGTTGAATCTTATGCAACCTGCGATACCCGGGTGGCTTGGATGCAACACACAGGAAAACCAGACGCCTGACCGACCGCCACTTACAGAGAAACATCGGTGGACGACGTTGGGAAAGCGCACCGCCTGGATCGACATCGTATCCGTGAGGTAGAGCCCGCCCACCAGCGCCCCGCAGACGGCGGGGACGATGGAATCCCACCCCTCGCACGACGCTAACTTACAACACGAGACAGCAGCAGTGCGGAATGCCATGAAAACGAACGTGTGGATAATGTGAGGTTCGGGTCGCAGCGCTTGGAGAGACGACGGACACTAACGCACTGCTGCCGTGTGCTGCGGGGCTCGGAGAAGGAGCAAGCACTAACGTACCATTAAAGTTCTAGAGGTTGGCGACAAAAAAGAAATGTGTCTGGTTGCACCGTCAGCTACGAAGAAAACAGCAAGAGTGGACAGGTGGCTACGAAGAAAACAGCAAGAGTGGACAGGTATCTACGAAGAAAACAGCACGAGTGGACAGGTGGCTACGAAGAACACAGCAAGAGTGGACAGGTGGGTGTCCACGTTGGGGATTACATTTCTCGCCCATCCTTTGCATTATACACACCCCAGAAAACGCCTGCACGTTAGACGCCCGCAACCCTACAACAAGGTCTCGTTTAGGGTTAGAGCTTATTTGAGTATCAGGGGTGTCTACAAGAGGGGAGGAGGGGTGCAAAGCGATGTCAAGGTGCACACAATAGCGAGATCGATACGACCTGTCCCTCCTACGGCTCCTGAACGCCTGGGATAAGCTGAAACGACTCCTATTGGGTTCTTAAGCGCCGAAATTTCACAACTGCTCCGTCGCGCCAAAAGCATGTACTTCTCCCGAGGCAACCCAAACGTGATTGCTACACACATTGGCGCCGCACAACCTTGGTTTCTTGCCCTGTTGATAAATAACTCGCTGCCCCTGCCACCGCAAGCGCGAACGCCTCATCCGCGGCGTTTCAACACTTTCCTCGACACCGGCAATACCAGATTCCGATAGACACTGTTCATACCCCCACCCTTTCTTGGAATCGCCTTCCCGAGAAAACGGAATGTTACAAGGACATAGAACAGGGAGGGGGTACGCAGACCCTATCTGTAAACCTAACCCAACTTCCCCCCATCATACAACATGTTGACATAAACGAAAAACTCTGGGAGGGCTACTACTTTCTTGCTCTTATCCCTCTCTCACCATCCCCGCCACCACAAACGTAAACGCCTTATCCGAGAAGTCCAGACCCAGGACCCCGAAATACCGCGGCTTAGACGGGGGCACGATGGCGTAGTACACCACCACCAACGCGAACACCAGTGGGATGGGCCCGGGGGTTAGTCTGCCGACGACGCCGCGCGATATTGGTCCCAGAAAATGGAAGGAGGCGTTACTGCTGTGAGCTGCTGGCACGTGATATCATTCTTCGCGAACATTTATTGGACAACAACACTTCCTTAGAACGCCACTGCTTTTGTTGGTGTGGAGATAGATGAGGACCTCCAATCACTATAGTACTGGTCCATGGTGTGTGATATATTTGTGCGACTAACGGGTAGCACTTGGAACATTTTCCCAGTCACACCGACTTACACGAAACGCCTGGCACAACAACACAGAAGCTCTGCGCTGCGTCAGACACGGCCCACTTCTTAAAAAACGAGCATGCTCGTTTTTCTTTTTCTCACTATCGTGGCAAGCCCTCAAAAGCTTGTCTCATAGTGTACCGATGTGAACCTCTGTTTCCTCAAGTACACAACTACATTTTCGCGGCCAGACTGTCAATTGACAAGTGTCGAACCAAAACCTGACAGTCCCGAGATCTGCACCTGACAGTCCCGAAGTAGACCCCAGCGGTGGCTTCGAAAGGCAGAGCTAGAGCAGAGGTTACTGCGGCGAATGCCCCGAATTTCTTCGACCCGAGCAGGGGTTCCAGCGCACGGAGGCGGTAAAGAGACAGAGAGCTCGCTAACAACGGCCCCATGCTAGGACACACGGTTGGGGTGGGGCAACAACAGGAAAAAGCGTTGGCAAGTTGGAAAATGAAGTCGTGATTTCGTCACGACAGTGGACGCAGAAAGCAAAAAAAGGCAACCTGGACGTTCAATACTTGACAAGACGTGGGGGCCCGCTGCTATCATGCGTACCCCAAATATCGACGGGGGGGAAACAACAAGCCGGCCTGGTAGCGAACCCGCCGGTGACTAGAACCGACATCAGGCAGCGAGGTCAACACGACGAACGCTCAGAAATGAAGGCTTGGGAGGAAAGCACTCCCGCAAAGCGTGAAAAAAAAAAATGGGGGCATTTGGTCACCAGGCCTGCAGGCTGTGTTTCGGCAACAACAACAAAAACATCCAAACGGCAACAATACATGAGAACAAAACAACAACGACAACCAACAGGGAGGCGCGGATCTCACCTGGTGCACACAGTATGACAGGAGAGAAGTCGCCAAATCTCACCCTCGGTCAGCACCCGCCAAACATCTGCGGAAAACCACCGACGATAAAAAAGAGGTACAGCTTTATCGGATAGGGGTTGCTTTGCTCACAGGAAAGCAAGCAATACACGGAATACAAATTATTTTCCGTTGTGAGATTTCTTTTGATTGTTATTCCTAAAACGCATGTGTACAGGAACGGTTGCTCAGATGCATGTATCAGTTGGTCGACTCGGCGCCGGAGCCAAAGGCGGCTGCAAGGAGGACTATTTTACTACTACACCGATGATACCGCTCGGCAAGACAAATAGCGTCTTGCAGCCGCCAAAACACCATTAACCAGCACAACAGGTTACCGATTGGGCATCCCCAAGGACTACCGATCTACCAAGCGGCCGAAAACCAGAGGGCTTGCCGGGTCACTCGTCTGCGAAGACAACTCCAAATGATTGGGCTCTCTCGACAACGAAAAAAAAATGAAGCTACCACAAGAAAAACCACGGCCGCCGTGTTTGCTTACAGCAGAAATTCGATTGACCTCCCCCGGCACTTGGTTAGTCTACCCCCCCAGGCGGTTGCCTTTGTAACAACCGCAAGAGGTGGAGCGATGGCACTCCCCCTCGTCAAAGCTCGATTTTTCCACAGCCAATGGGGTGCGGAAAGAGCTCGATAGCTCCTCGACAAGCCCTCGACGAGATGTGATCCAATCGTTGGTGTTGGTACGAGCTTGGTAGTGGAGCAATCGCGGTCTGAAATTTTGGGGTGCCATCTCTCCGGTGGTATTGTCTGCATACCAACATGATTGCACACTCGCCGAGGGTGACGTTGAGGTTGCCGTTCGGGTCTCTCGCATGAAGGACAGCGGACGCCACGAGGGTGGACGCCAAGATGCCCCTGGTCACGGGCGAGCTCCCTGTGAACGACGAAAACACACACACACACACACGCACGCGCAACAAGGGGGTGGATGAAGCTTTTATCGATACAGCGGTCGGGGCTCCGACACAAGAAGGTGGTGTGACGAAGGCCCTCGACCCTCTGATAGCGGAGCCCCCTCCTCTCTAATAAGATACCCTCTTGTATCGGAGCCACGACTGTAAGAGAGTGTCTATCTTCTCCCCCGAGAGTGGCAAAATATAGAGAGGGAAAGGCTTCGAGATCGTCCTCAGTCGTCGGCCTCCCCCCTACTGTTCCGCTTCGCAGTCGAAACGAAACCAGCAGGGTTAGCTCGGCCACTGGTCTGATCAAACCTCACCGATTGGATTTGATATTCCTCTTGTCTGTCTGTCTGTCTGTCTGTTTGTGTGTGTATGTGTGTGCCTCTCTCTTTCTCTGCCTCCTGTTTCGCAGGGGACGCCGTTGAGTAGCTTACAAAGCTGGGATTTGGGTTGGCACGATCGGACCCCCGTAAGATTGTGTACGTGTGTTCAACTTTCAAACGTAAGGCATATGCCTATCGTACAGTGCGAGGACCCGACCCCTCTACCTCTCCTCCTCGCATGATCCCCTCGAGTATTTTCCGTTGACACAGCAAGGGCGGTGACTTTCCGCACCCCAAGGCGGAGGCGAAAACTTGCCAGAAAACCTGCGCTGGTACTCGGCGTGCTCAAACAAACTCGCTGTAGCTTTGAAGAAAAGTGCAGCAGGGCGAATACCTATGTCAATCAATGTATGAAGGGGACATAAGTCTTCGTCATGGCGCTCCCTACTTCAAAGCTACAGCAGCGAGTTCGTTTGTGCACGCCCATGACCAGCGCAGTTCTCTGGCAGCTTTCTTGGCGCCGGCTTGAGGGGTGGAATGTCACCACCCTTCCAAGATCAACGAAGAATGTGAGGAAAGCGGCGGAGGGGTCGGATACTCAACCGCAAAATGTGTAGGTATATGTCTTCTACTTGTTACTACATAATATGTGGTTCTCACAGCTGATAGCTTTTCTATCAGGCACACAGGAGCTGGCTCCTATCGGTGGTCCCACAGGAGCTCCTATCGGTGGTCCCACAGGAGCCCCAATCCGTGGTCACACAGGAGCTCCAATCCGCGGTCACAACCGAAGGGTTCCTCTCCCCCTACCCCTCCTGCCGTGCTTGCCTTGCCTTCGACTTTTGACGCGAGAAGAGTGCAGCACTCTCTTCCCTCAAAGTGTACATAAACATGAACCATGGCAGAGGTTTCCCCCACCAGGAACGAAAGCGAGAGAGAAACCTCGCTTTGCAAGGAAAAGCTCGCTTACCCCGGGATTCGAACCCGTGACCCTGGCCACTAAAAGGTTGCGAGGATACATACCAACAAGGCTACCGGAGCATATGGTCTGCCTCACGTTTGTTTATTAAGGTCCCGATTGTTTAGACATTTTTTACGTATTCCGACACTGCTCTAGAAGGAAAGTAGCCAGCCAATGGTGAGAGAGGGCGAGACGTTTGCCACACGCATGCTCATTCGTTCCGCTTCGAACTTGTGCCTGGCCTGACTGCTGCTGTTACTAAATAATATAAAAGAGTTGTGTGCTACGCTGTTTTTGTTGTTTTTGTTGTTGTTGTTGTCTTCACATTTGAAACCGTTCCGTTCTCTTTACCCAGTGCCTTCTGCTGTCCGCACTAGTCAAAAACTTGCCGCGGTCGATTCCCGTGGTCACAGGATAAACATTGTGCTACGCTTTGCGCAACATGAAAAGCAGGGCCAATGCAGCAGACGGCCGAGGCACGACACTTTCTGCTCAACTACAGTACAGAGAGAGGGAGTAGGTGTGTGCAGCACGAGTTTGTCCCACCGATATCAAAGCAAACCAGCGTTGCACGGCCATCCCTTGTGAGTACACAATGTAAATTAGAATGCTGCAATTGGGGTGGCACGATCTGACCCCCGTAAGCTGGAGTGCACTAGCTCAATTTACAAACGTGAGGCATATTTACTTTTTTCCAGTTTGAATACCCGACTCTCCCTCCTCGCATTATGCTTCCCTCACGTTGTGTTGATATCGCAAGGGTGGCGACTCTCCGCACCCAAACCGGCGCCCAAGAGAGCACTGCCAAAGATCTGCACCGTCGTGGCTATTCACAAACGAAACTCATGCGTAGCTTGAAGTAGAGTGCAGGACGAGTACCTTTGTCCACGAAGGGGACCACAGTAGTACTCGTCCTGCCGCATCCTCCTTCATTGTATATGGCCATGGCCCACGCAGCGTAGGCATAGCCTATGCCTTACGTTTTCATCTTGAGGTATCGATGTTGTAGGCACTAGGACGCACTGTACATTCCGACACTGATCTGAAAAAGGGAGGAGCCAGCCAAACCGCAATGAACGGGAGAGACGGTTGCCAAAACTTGCACGACGCGCGTGCAACTTGTGCCGGACTGATGTTGCCTGCTTCCGCTTTAATATGCGTCGTGTGATACGCTTGCAGCACAAGCAAAGAGCAACCCAATGCAGCAAAAGGACCGAGGCACGCCGATTTCCACGCAAATACAGAGCGAGAGAGAGAGTCGGTGAGAGAGCACGAGTTTGTCCCGAGCAGCATTCAACTGCTGTCACCTTCAGCAGTATTGTGGTGGAATGTAGATCGCGTAGGTAAACATTTCCTACATAGTACAGCAGTAGATATGAAAGACTACTCAAAGGACGTTAGGACGACAAAGGGGCGCTGTTCTGCAGCGAACATGCCCAGGAAGGCATGGTGGACTTGCGAACAAGCACTGCGCCCATGATGAGTGCACGAGGCGCCCGTTGTTCAATCGGGCGGGCCTCTTTCAATCCTGTTGTGCCTATGATAGGCCGTATGTATTTTGTATGATGGGGAACATCAAGCAAACTGCGGCAAGTCTTCATTCCACGCTGCGCTGCGCTGGAATACATTTTGCGCAGCTGAAGAGTAGCAAGAGGGGCGTGCACGTGGACGTATCATACGCGCCCGAGTTACCTGTTCTTGTGCTTGGTGTACTGTAGACTACTGCTGTAGATTGCTGTAGACTAGAGCAGTACCAGCGGCAACAACACGCAATGGCTTTGCGGAGTGTTTGTTACTTCTTCATATCGCTCGCAACAGCTACGCTCTCACCAAATCCTGCAAACATCCTGTACTGAGCAACTTCCACGCCGCAGTATCCTAGCAAGTGCCTGTCGCCTATGATATCCGTGCCCAGCCACACCCCGCTCCAAGAGTCCGTCGTAGCAACACCGGCGAACGCCAGCTAGAGAGCGGGGGAAACGCAGAGTGCATTAAGGAAGCTAAGGTATGGCTTCGGTACCAAATGCGATGCCCCTGGTTACCGTTCGAGGAAGGGACACAACCGTTTCATTTCACAGGTATCCAATAGAAGGATGCTGCGTGCTCCAGATGACATGTGGAATAAGTCGAGTGTTGAGTATCAGACGGTGCCAGCGATATTTGGACTTCATTTCTAGACGATCGACCGTCAGGCAACACCACAGCACGCAGCAAGCGTTTTGTGCAGCCCGGCTGCTCTTGGCCGAACATGGCAGCTAACGACGAACACAATACGTGAGTATACTCGGTTGTGCCGTGGGGCGGTACTCCACTCTTTCATTTCGAACTGCGACTGGCCATGCAAAGGCGCCACACCACCAGTGCCACATGAAAAACGTCTACAGACTTCATGCATTGCTAAGACAACAACCCGTACCCGAAACGTGTGCTGACATTTTCCATCCTTGCCTGTCGCGCATCTCCTGCCCACCACTCAGAGCTAAGGAGCAGCCTCGATTGTCATCGCGGTGTCGGCACCATCAGCAACGCAAGGCAACCCCTCGCCGCTCCCCCGAGCGGTCTAACAGACGACCGAAGGAAGGCGAAAATATTCCCGCAACGATAGCCGCCCCAGCTTCGCATAGAAGTGGTCGTGGTGGTGATGGTACAAATAGGACAGCGAGACATGAAGAACCGATGGCGAGCGCACGATCTGCAGGTACCGCTGCTTCTTTTTGTTCTTCGAAGGGTGTGCGGGGGCTGCCAGCGTCGTACTGTGGAGACGGGATTCCTTCGGACAGAACAACATCAAGAAGATCGCTCACAAGTAGCGCAGCGATCAGCCTTACTGACTACTCCACAGACACTCCAAGGTGATCTATGAGAAGGGTTATACGTTATCTATAGACTATGCCCGCGGGCAGGATAAAACACGAAAGACAAATCTCCCAGCGACTTCACGATTTTGGAAGCACGCTTTATTGTATGGGGGTTTTCTCAATTCGGATGAACGTTTTCGTCCTATGTACTCCCAGGGCAGGGTTTCCTTTAGCGCATCTTGGCGACTTCAGCCAAACATTGCGTAGTATTTGCACGAGGAATAACGTGGTTTGCCTCGCAGATGTTCCCACAAAATTTCCAAGGAGAGATTTGCACTCTGCTGCAGATGTGCTTGCTGTCGCGAGTACAATTCGCCGTGATGCAGTACCAAAAGAGATCTGTGTATGGTTGGTGCACTCTCGAAAAAAGCTAAAGGGTCCACCTACCTTTTGCTATCACACCAACCAACGTGGTGGATCACGCGCCGCAGGCCAAGTTGTGGCGAGTGGTCACGCGACCAAAACGAACGCCCACGAGCAGTGCGTGGTGATATGGGGTTAGCCGATCTGTTGCACCCGAAACTATGTCGTCATCACACTCAGGAGGAATAGTACTCGTTGGACCAACGACGGGTATCTAATCGCTCCTGCTTGTTACTTTCTGTTTTTGAAAGGGAGACCGTTCGTACGACGACAACCATGGCCATGAGCACGGCGAGAGCAGAGGCTACGCTAGCCGTGCTGGAGGCGGAACGGGCACAGTTGGAACATCGTCTGAAGAAGGTGGAGATCTAGAGAAGAAAAAGGAGGAAGTGATCAAAGAAAGTGTAGGAGAGGGAGGATAGCATTGGAAAAGCAGCGCGCGAATATCCGAGATGGCTGTTATTCGATGAGATGACTATATTCTTACATCACTGTTTGACTTCTTGCAATTTGACCCTGTATTTGGTCTCAGTAGACTTGCCTCCCGTGAAGAAGAGCCTTGTTAAGCTTGCCCACGTGCATGTTGTTCATCCCAATTTCACATTCGCGATTATGCAGCAATCCCTATCCCTTAACCCCTCTAAAGCTGGAAGAGAAGCATGGCCATTGGAGCGACAGCAGGCACACGATATAGGAAACGTTACATCACAGAGACAGAACAGCACAAATATGGAGGGTGTCGCGCGTGACCCGTCTCCGATTGCGTAGTAGTTATCACTTCTCGCCATTTGTCCGAACTCTCCTATGTCCTCCTGGTTGGGTGCTAACCGCTCCATCATCGTCACCGCCACGGGCCGCTGGCCTTGCGTTGTGTTCGGACCAAAGGTGGAGGACGAGCTGAGGCAGGAGCGAATCTTGAGCAAAAAGAACAACAAAAAGCGTGGACACCGCCTTGCGACACCGCCAAGAACGACCCGATGACTGAGAGGAGACTCCGCAGCTGAAACACATTCATCAGCAAAGCCTCGACTCAAGCATGGTGTATCAGCGAACACTCGGCTTAGGTGTTACCGCACGTCAGGTAGTCTAGACATTGGCGCTCGTTCTCATGGAATGACAAGCGCCCGGTAAAATACTTGGTGGCTGTGACGATAAGGCGCATGGGAATAATTGCATTGTTCACTCCTGCGGGCAAGAGCGGCATGGGCATGGTGGCGGTGAATGGTCTCGCTCAGCCAGTCCATTGGATATGAGCTTCCACATAGCCGAATCTCAAAATCTCTGTGGCCAGTCTGGTCCAATCCGTGTCACGCTGACCGAAATGAAATTACTCGACGAACGACGGACCGGAGCACGAAGCCTGCCGGCTTTCGTACTTCAAAGCGGCCCTAGCCGGCATAGCACAAAGCAAAACCGGGAAGCATCCTCATCTCACACCGATGAAAGCGCTCCACAAACAAAGCACTCGGACCAAGTGGTTTGCTTGCGTTGTCAACACATACACCCACCCTTGTATTTTACACCCCGACACCCTTGCCCCACACCGCCACCCGCTGAACAACACAAATATGTGCCACCGTCGCACGAGCGCGCGCGCTAGTAGATGTAGACCAACGTGTACGCCAGTGTCCAGAAGAGGATGTACGTCAACGCGTAGTTGCCCACCCCTCCGAAGGCGAACATCGCTAGCTTCCCCTTCCCTGCCGTATACAGAGACACGTCCGTGGTGCCCATTTTCACCACCAAGCTCAAAGAAACTGCGGCGGGGGTCGTCCGGCGGGCAGTCGGACGGACGAAGCGCAACACGCCCCGAGACACGACACAACGAGGGAACAGTCGAGGGCACGCAAATGTAGAAGGCGGTTTATACTTCTTTTGTTAGGCCCCATGAGGGAAGTGCCAAGCTGTGGCGACGTAGATGCCTACTGCGAAGCCCGTGAGGGCAGTGTCGAGCTGTGGCGCGTGTTTGTTCCCCCGTGGTCCCGGGGGAAACTTTCCTCCTCCGGCCGTTCGGCGGAACCTCACCAGCTACCATCAAAGGTGATCAAAACGTCGTGAAGGCAGATGTGTTGTACTCCTTGCAAGGCTTCAGTCGTCGCGGCATGCAGACGCAATGCGACTCTTTCGTTGCGTGGTGAGAGAAACGTATGTTGCCAGACTCAGCCGTACATTGACAAAATACACGTGTTTCGGCTTTGGAGACTGATACTACAGTTGTACGCCGGGCACCGAACGCTTTTCGTGAATATTCCGAAGCTCGACAATGCTGTCGTATGAGCAGGAACATCAGCTTGTAGGCCAACCCAACCAGTCATGCTACCACCCTAAAGGTGCGATGCTAACCAAACGGCGTGAGCGGCGGTTCATGTGATTGTAGCAGCGTCGCACATTCAAAACATTGGACCTGTTCCGAGGCTCTACTGCAAAGCAACTGCCTTGTGGAATTTCTTCAAGAAGAGACCGTGAGGGAAAGGCACGCCGAACCAAACCGGCGAAACAAACTAATACCAGTAGGGTTCAATGCAAGAATCGGAGTGAAGGGGGGGGGTTTACCTTGAGTGCGACGTCTAACGGTTTGCTGATCAAAAACGACAGACGAATGCACTTACCGACAAGGTAAAGGATAAGGTAGGAGAATAACCCGACCAGTCCAGTCAACCCCAAGATCCCTGCAGAACACCGAGCGAAGAGGCGGGGGTGGATTAGATTTTGAACGCCATGAAAAACTGTCTAGCCGTGCGTACCTTCCTGGAGCCAACGTAGTGAACTTGACAATGGATCCACTACGAGCATGCTACAAAGCAGGTTCTAAACACCGGGGGCATCCATGGGAATAAGGGCAAGAGAAGCATGAGGTGTTGACATCACAACCGCAGCCAGCGCTCAGTTGACAGTCAGTCGACATCAAAACCGCAGCCAACGTTCACTTGACAGTAAGTCGACACCACAACCGCAGCCAGCGTTTGGTTGACAGTCAGTCGACATCATAACCGCAGCCAGTGTGTAGCTGCTCCGGGAAATAATTGACCCTTTGAGCGAGCGCTGCACGTCGGGTACGAAACACTACCGGACGTTCGAGCTTGTCGCGGTCGCCTTACCGGACACGATCCCCCCGACGGCGCACAGCGATGTCCGGCAGTACTCCAGCACCTTCTTGTTGTGGGCAATGTTCTCGGAGGAGTAGAATTGTCTGCGTTTTTTCGCGAAACACGTGCGGCAGTGTGTGCGCGGGCGGGGGAGGGGGTTGGCAAGAGGGGCATGCGAACTACAAGTATCACAACGACGTGGCTGAAACATTCGGGCCGCCTTCGAGATAAATTAAGTTCATGAGGAAATAGAACAGGGAGAGGGGACGCAGACCCTATTGCCTAACACTAACCCAACTTCCCCGATTGCATGCTTCATCCAACATTTTTACTGAATCGAAAGCCTTGCGAAGGCTACTGAAATAATAATATTCCCCAACTGTTTGCACCACAGCAGTTTGAAAGAAACAAGGACCATCGTACTTTCCAAGGGGGATCAGGGAGCACGCGGGGCCGCCAACTTGGGGCAAGGATTCAAAGAAGAAACTTGGTTTAGTCTAAGCACCCTGTACAGCATTGACTCGCCGAGCAGCTTTGTCAGTTTTGAACCCGGCAACCAAGATGGATCAGATGGGGCATGCTGCTGCTACTTTGTGGCAGCGCTCGCTGTGTGCCTGGTTCGGGGTAACCGGAGTGTTTCGCCGGTGCGGTTCACGACTCGGCTCCTATTCGCCGGGCGTCGGCGGAACACTCTTGCAGTATTCCTCGCTCACACAGCAGATGCTAAATTTATTGCCGAGCCAACAAAAAAAAAACAAAGCAGCACCTTGCTCGTGCAACGACGACGGCAGAGGACCACCACCTCGTGGCACGGCTCACTGCCTTGGGCAGGGTCTATGGAAGCAGCCAACAGGTGGGTGGTGGGCTTTCGGGTACTGCTGTTGCTGTGGATGGCACATGGAGTGGAGTTGCCAACATTCGTCCAACAAACGCAACCAACATGCTGTATTTTGTGCTATGATGTAGCTGCTGTTTCTCTACCTCGGTACGGAATGGACATTGCACGAGAAGTGTACAGGATACTGAAGCCAGCCTGCAGCCTGTCGCCGTTTGTATGTAGGGTACCGGGTATGCATATCACAATATGAAGCTATGACGTAGAAGTAGCCTACAGGACAGGGGTAGCCTAGAGAACGGTAGCCGGGCTTAGCAAAAGCCACTCGCTCTCGACTCTGGCCTCACCTCTCATCCTCTTCTTCCCCACCTCCTCCTCCGCCCATCTCAGGGCCCATCCCCATCCCCATGTCCCCCATGATGGATCCCCGCTGCTGTTTGTTCTGATCCAAAGAGTGCGGTGTGTCCTGTGGAAGAAGGTGGTGTGTCGTCCCTGCTTTTTCTCCCTGTGATGACTTTTTGCGGTTCGGACCTATTCGACTCTGTAGACAATTATCCCTAGGGTATTACGGGCTGTTCCTCTTGCTATGTAGCGCCTCTGTACTGAGCGGCCGAGCATGGACAGCACTTGGCAGCGACTTGGGGGCGACGGGGACATAGTGTACGGGCCTGTGTGGTGTGCGGAGCCCCTTCTCTGGAGATTGCCGTAGATTGCGGAGATCGTGCCAACACCATCGCGCCGAGATGCAGGTTGCAGAGTGCAGACATCAACCTTCCACACATCAAGACGTGTGAGGAGCGAGGAGATACCTCTGCTGGGTAGAGGGGTGAGTTTTTTCCTTGTTCTTCGTTTGTCTTCTTTGTTATTGTACCGCGTGTGAAATGGTTGCAAGATGATACAGCAGTGTGGCGTATTTTTGAAGTCTAACTGTAACTAACCAGGTGCTCGTGTGGCTCCATGTCCCCCTCACTTAGCACAGACACCACGCGAACGAATTACATCACGGGTGTCTACAGATGCATGGGAGAGTACGGCGGTAGCAGCCAGGTGCATGAGCAATGTCCTTAGAGCTGCGTGTACATAAAGGCCGTTGGATGTGTTGCAGAATGATTACACAGGTGGCCAGTGGGCACGGTTGTACGGGGGCGTTGTGTAACCTCCGGCCAACGAGGGGTTATTACATGGGATAACGTGGGAGGGTTACAGGCCGAGCGGGCATAACGTGCCGGGTTATGAAAGCGGTTATGCGCGGATTGGTGTGAAGGAGGAGAAAGAAAAATATATGTGTGAGCTTTCCCCTCCCTTCCATTCATTGTACTCCACCCTACCTGCCGTTGGGTTAATCAAGCGATATTCGGTAGACAAATTTCCTCTCTTACGAGATGACTAGCGCAGGAACATCACAGAACGCGGAGGGGATCGACCCAGCAAACTGTGTCTATTACGTGTGACGGTGTACCGCTACGCTATATGTTGAAGCATAACGTATAACTACTCGTAAAATCCATGATGAATCTATAGTGATGGGGAGGGTGTACTCATAGTCGTGCATGCCGTAGTCGTTAGACCATTGACCTCGCATCCCTACAATGCCGGGACGGAGCACGCCGGGTTCTCACCGGACCAGGCTCTCACATCACCAAGCGCGAAGCGCCGTGAGATATTCGGCGAGTCGCATGAAGGGTGCGCTGCATCCTGCTAAAGGTGTTCGGCATCTTGTTCTTACTTCCTTGCATACGGACGACAGCTGCATATGCCTTAGTTTACTTTCTCGTGCTTTCACTTCGAGAGACAGTTGTAAGCACCGTGTAACTGCCTCGAGGGTGCTTGGCCATTTTAACACAACGTGGTGCGATCATCCCCTTTGCGCGGAGTGAGGGTTCTCGACCCCGCACAACACGATATACTCGACCACCATTAAGGATACCGCCAAAAAAGAACAGAGGTACAAAAAAACGGTAACCTGTTTGCCGAGTTCACGATATGAATTGGCTTGTTTTGCAACGTCGTTGCCAAGCGACGAAAACCCAATCCCGATGGCAAACACCGACTCGGAGGGGGGGACTTGTTTCACAACGCCGTTGCCAAGCGACGAAAACCCAATCCCGATGGCAAACACCGACTCGGAGGGGGGGACTTGTTTCACAACGCCGTTGCCAAGCGACGAAAACCCAATCCCGATGGCAAACACCGACTCGGAGGGGGGGACTTGTTTCACAACGCCGTTGCCAAGCGACGAAAACCCAATCCCGATGGCAAACACCGACTCGGAGGGGGGGACTTGTTTCACAACGCCGTTGCCAAGCGACGAAAACCCAACCCGGATGGCAAACACCGGGGATAGTGATGGGGGCGGGAACAATTGGGGCAACACCACCCAAGCGGCCGATAAGAGCGCACTAACTCCCCGCAAAAAGCAGAAACTCCGAGTAATGTCTTCCATTGCCAATCGTTCAATGGCAAGTTTTTGGTCAGCTAAGTTTTTATGTTCCACAGCAGCAACAGCATATAGTCTATACGAAGTATATAGAATTATTTAGTGCTGAGCGCGCAATTCTTTTTTATGTAATAATACTATATTCGACCACTATTGTTACATATGTTTAGGAGACAGACGTACGTACGTACGTGTTGTCGTGTTGACTTTTACAGAGAGAGGCAGCGTATGTTATAGTATTTCATCGCCTACTCTCTCTCTTTCTCTCAGTCCTTGCTTTACCCCCCGATCGTTGTCGTGCGTGTTTCTAGGCAGCAATATATATCAAATAGAGTAGGCCCATGTCCATGTTGCTTCCGGCACTACATCATGATCAGAAGATAAAGATGGCGCTCGCACTTAAGAACTCGGCAGTTAGGAAATGCAGCCTCGAAAAAAATCAAAATTAAAGAGATTGATCACATAAAAATAATATCAACACGTGCGTGCTCATGCCCGACGTGGTGTTTTGAACAACAACGAACCCACCTTTCTTTGTGGTGTAAGAACAGAGGCCCCAATACGCGACAGCTGCAAGATAATTAGCACTCACGAAGGGGTGAGGGGCTACTCGCGGGGTGACCGGTGGGCAGTTAGTTGCAGATCAGCGGCGAGGAGGAGGTTCCTTTGAAAATAGTGCTGGTGCGGAGATGGGAGGGGTGTACTGTTTTTATTTTTGCGCGTCTAACGGTATTCAACTATAAAATCGGGCTTACAAATGCCGGCACTCTTGAAGCTTTTTTTTTATTGCCGCATAATGTCCAAAAACTCGGTGTGTCGTGTACTCTGTGGACACCGACTGGTACATAGTTTTCGCGGCAAGGCATGGACGTTCTCGGGCTTGCACAACCTCGCCTGCAACCAAGCACAGATACAAATGTCCCCTAACTGGGTTTGGACCGGCGTTTCTAAACCCTGCCTGACCTTGGAGGTTGGCAACGGTGCGCCCGACCGGGTTACGCAGGTTGTACAACGCCTAGGGGTTACAGGTCTGTTATAACCCCCCGTAACCGTGCCCACTGGCCACCTATGTTATATACACAAACATGTAGATAGTGTGCACAGAGTGCGGGTCGTACAGCAGTATCTCAGATGAGAAGAGGGAGCCCACTCTGTGCGGGGCTATTTGGTAGCCAGATACCACTGCCGAACAACAAGGCTCCCATTGTCGATGCACCGCAGAAGAAGATTTATATATACAGCGTCGCGATACACTCTAAATCTACATGTTTAAGGCCCGAAGATTTTCAGCTGGGAATCGCCCGGTCGAGAACGTTTTCTGCAAACACCTTTCTTTCGTTGACTCCCCCCCCCCCCCCCCTTTGGATTTACGGTGCACAAAGGAAACGGAGTGGTCGACCATCGGGCGAGATTATCCTGACCGTGCAAATTTTCCCGCGTTTCGGCGGTAAATGGAGCGTTCATCTCCTCCTAAAGCATTTTTTGCTCTCGTCATCCCCTCCCCACCACGATGTTTCGCGCTTCGATGTCGTTGTCGTTGTCTCCCGCGAGTTGGCTGAACACATTTTCGCGTGTACGTGGCACGCAGGCGTGAAGAGAGAGGCAGAGGCAGAGGCGGAGACAGAGACAGAGTCAGAGACACAGAGAAAAGACACTTGACAGAGACAGGAACAGAGGACAGGAACGAAAAGAGGGTTCGGTTCGGACAAGAACGGCAAAGCGGGTTCTGTTCGCGAGAAGAGAGACTCAATGCAGCTTCTACGGAGGACGTGTGGCCCCCAACCAGTGTCCGTGTCCGCGCTGGCGCCGTCGGCGGGAAGGAGAACGTCGATGTCGTTACCCCGAGCCGCCGCTGCAACTCGCACGTAAGAGGGCTTGAGTTGGTGTTGGTGTTATGTCGCAGTCGACGTTGGTGCTGCTGGTACAGTAGTGTGCCCTTTACAACGTGCCGCGAAGTGAAAGGATCGGGCAATTCGAATCCCGAATCCCCACGACTGTTCCTTTTCGTTCCTTTAGAAGCCGAAATTCAAGCCGGGTCACCCTGTAGATGTATTGCCGGTGGAATCGCGGGACACAGATGGGATAGTGAATCCGTCTCGTACTCTGCTTTCTTCCAGGTACCAGGTGCAAGGCCGACAAGAAATCTCTTGGCGCTATGCGGCCTCATATAGGGACCACATATGATACTGATTTGTTGGTTTTCGCGGCTCGGAGTTGGTAGTGAATGGCAGTTGCTTTGGTTTGGTTCTTCGGTAGATTTCGGGTGAGCAGCGGGCTGACGGTCAAATTGTCCCCGTAGCTTTTGATCCCTTGCCCCCCGGTCTTTGCAAGCCTTTGCTGGGGATAGTCGGCGGTGGTCTTTATGATGGGGGGGGGGGGGGGGGGGGGGG